GAGGGGCCGGCAGAGCGCGTGCGGCTGCCCGGTGCTTTGCTCTCGGTAAGTCGCCCCGCCACCCGGGTCTTCCGCGCCCGGTGCTCCGCGCCGCTCCGGCGACACGAACGACTGCGGTCGATGCGGGGCGGGCTGCGGGAAGGGGATTAGCCCCGGGATACTGCTGATCCTCACAGAGAGGGACAAATTTAAAAGGGCTGGCGCACTTGCTGCTCTTTACCTTGTACGGGGTTTTTTTTTTGTAGCTAAACGATCACAAAAAATCAAATAGCACCCAGTGTTTTCTAGTCAATTGGTGCATTTTAGTTAATTTTTTTCCAAAACACAGATTTGAAGCTGTTGTTAAATTGAGTTCCACAACCTCGCTTTCATTGCAGCAGTGTAGGAAACGCTTTCTTTCAATACTGCTTAGCGCTGGGGAACGTACTGCCTGTTGAACACTTGCCTGCCTTTCCTTTCGTCTTTTTACACCGTATTCGGGAATTAATCTCACTTAAGATGCTGTAAGCAAGACTGCAGAGCTTGAGTTTGTCATAAACTTTAAACAGTTATCACAAACAGCCTCATCTCTGTCTCGCAGCTCTACACCAACAGGGAAGTGGGCCGTGAGCTGTGGTTAAGCAGCTAAGCCTCAGGCTGGACCAGCAATCTTTCCCCACTGCTCCTTCTACAGGGACCAGGAGGTCAGACAGTGGTTTAATTATTGCCCTAACCCCTCACCTACCGTCTCATCCTTGCATTTGGTTCCTTTTTTAATAGGCATTAACATGGCAACTTCCCATCTAGAGAGGCAGGTGCACAGGGAAGGAGCAGCCGGCTTTGAAAAATGGTGTTTTGTGCAGCAAAAGCCAGTGATCGCCAGTGACTGAAGGCAGAAGAAAAGGGAACGGGAAGTGGAGCAGCTCCTACAGACAAGAGATATGGAGAGCTCTCGCTGAATACTTGTTCCACGCCGTGAACGGCCAAGCCCTGTGCTTTGAAAACAGAGGGCACACTGGAGTCAGACAGCTTATACATCACCCCTCCCTCTGATCCAGTTTGACTTAACACGTGGGGTTTGCTGTTACAGTGCAGCTGCATTTGAGACCAAGACACCACAGCCAGTGTAACTGTTTTACCAGTAGCTTTCATCACAGTTTGAGGACAAACTCTCTTTTCATAGCAAAATAACTTTTGAGGTTATTTGCAGCCAAGAAAAGTTATGGATGCATTTCTGCTGCAGAGAAGATGGGGGGAAAACAGATGTTTTGCCAGAAAACTTTTAGGAGCCACCAACTGAAGACAGCCTGTACTTTTACTCCTCATCATTCCTGAAAAAAAAAAAGTTTCTTAGCATATAATAATCTTCTTATGTTGGTGCTAAAATAATTTATCCTGGATGGTTTACTAATGAATTTACCAAAACCTTCTTTACCAGCAACCAAGGTACTTTCAGCAGGCAGAGGGGAATGTACGTTCAGGCAGTCAAATAAGCCATATAGTCAGTGTCTAACAAAACTGCCCCTGCTTGTCTTGCCCACAGGAACACAAGGAGGCAATAGGGATGAGCACTGACAATGCAGCTTTTTAAAAGCCTCCTTGGCTCTGCTTTTGAGAGGCAAGTTTCAGAGACATTTATCATTAAAGGTAAATTTTTGTTTGTTTATAATCAGGTTTTATAAAGTATCTCAAGGATTTCAAAGTATTATGAGAGCGACATGTCCAGCTGTATCAGGCAGAGTATATTGTTCATGTGAAGGCTGACTACTACTATTTAAGTGCAGAGCTACGGAAGGCCTTACTAGCTAGAACACTGCGAAGGAGCACACTGCACCAATAGCAGAGCACCACAGAGATTACAACACATCTTGCAGTACATGTGTCAACACCTCCACTTCTGCTCTGTTTGTCCCGTCCCACTGGGGCTTGTTAGCAGTATAACGACTTTGTAAAGAGTGAACAAGTCTGAACTGAACATAGCTAGTGTGGACTGCCATTTTGCCAAAAAGAACAGCCTCACTGTAAGCCCTGCTGCTCCAGACTTCCCACTGTAGCAGAGCAAAGGCTCATCTAAACGGGTCGCTTCTGTCATGGTGAGTACCTGGTTCCGTTGGTTTCACCTTGGCAGTACACAGGGAAAAATTAAAACTTCTGAGTTTAATGCAGTTCTATCAATGTTTTTGCACTATCTTCGAAACATTTTGAAGGTTTTTTGTTGCAAATTTACTGGATTAAGTGATGTCACATAAAAAGACAGTCAAAACCAAGCGCACATTTCTGGCCTTTATAGTAAAGCAGCACAGGATCAACAGCTCTAACTGTCCGACACCAGGACTTTCACCATCCCTTCCATAACAGTCTTTCCACTTTCTCTGACTTTACATGATACTGAAATGTGTGCAATAGAACCCTTCAGTCGTTTAACTTCTGCTGCTGCTATCACTTCTTCACCAGTGTACAAAGGGGCTGGAAATCGGATCTCCTGCGAAAGAAACACACAGCCTGGACCGGGCATTTTAGTACCCAGAACTGCAGAAATAAGTCCATTGATCAACACTCCATGTACAATAGTTCTCCCAAACCTAGATTTCTTTGCGAAATCTTCATTTAAATGTAAAGGATTTGTGTCACCTGTTAAATCAGAAAAAGTAGCGATATCATTCTGTGTAAAAGCTTTACTAAGTTCAGCTTTGTCTCCAACTTTTATGTGTAAACTTTGAAGGAAGTGACGTCCAGGCAGGGAGTTGATAACTGTTAGCTTTGTCAAGGCTCTTTGTCGGAAAACCCCTCCACAAATTCCATGCCTGAAGGGCTGCAACATCTTAAGCAACTTCTGCTTGCTTCGTACAGCCAAACCCGCAACTGCATTCAGTCCAAGATTAGTTCTCTACTATTCCCACATAATGCAAGAAGAAACGGAGATGTCTAGTTTGAGGGGAAACAAAAACAAAGCAAGAAACAAACTAAAGCATTTAAAAAAACCCCAAAACACCATCAAATGCACTCAAAGTTGGAAATAGTGAAATTTCTCTTTTACAGAAAAGATTAAAAAAAACTTAGAGCTATGCCTGAGCAGATTTTTGTTTAGCCGTTGCTTTGGAGACAAAGGATTCTTGCATCTTATTTTATTAAGCAGCATCCTCAGGAAAAAACAGGCTCTGGAAGTGCATGTTCATGCATGCATTTTTAAATAAGGTCAGTTGACAGCGACTATTAGAAAGGGAAGAAATGGGGCAGCGAAAATGAAAAGTGAACAAAACTCTCCAGAAATTATTTTCTCGCAGAGGTATTAATGAGATCAGGACTTCTCATTGGAATGAAACTACTGCCACATTCTACAAGATTCATTGTAAGATGAGAATTACTTAAACATAGGCCTGCGCACCTGTACTGGAAAGCATTTCACTCCCAAATCAAGACGGTTTTGCATCTAGGCTGACTTTCCTACGAGGAGGCAGCGTGCTCTGCTAGCCAGAGAACCTCACAGTGAGCACTGACATTCTGGGGAAGCCATCCAGCCCCCGTGAGGCCTTACCTGCAGCACTCGAAAGGCACACCTCCTGTTCTGGTAGAAGCCCAGCAATGTTAGAGCACTCCACAGCTTGACAAGGCCACTAGGTAAAAAGAAAATGAAATATATGAATAAAATTTGGGTTTTGCAGGTTTTTTTCAGGGTAAGTATCTTAAATAAAAGCACGTTACATAAAGAGTAATGAATCCTTAACGGAGTTTAACATTTATTTTCATCAATGGGTTCTAGTAGCAACACTGTGCCCTGGAGGGTTGTTGCAATGACTACAGTCTCTTGTCCCTGATAAACAGAGATACGTACTGTAACCTCTTCAAGTTCACTTTATCGGCCCTGTTCTTGTGCTTTCTGTGCCTTTTACGTTTCTTCTTCCCCTAAATCACCTCCAGTTGTCTTCACTGGTAATCATGGAATCTGGTAACCATTCTCATCTGGACTACAGAAAGAGATTGAAAGCCATATATTTCAATGGTCCTGCCAGACTATTCTTTTTTAAAGCAGGAATAACGTACCAATGGATGTAGGTTACCAAATATTAGGGAATTTTTAGTTTCTTCAAGTTAAGCTTAATCTTAAAAGTTAGGGTTAATTCTTAAAAGATCATTCTTAGTTTAAGAGTTCTGTTTTCTTATGAGAAATATTTTCATGGCAATCTCTGAAGTGCACACCTACTGCACCTTACCTGCTAACAACTCTTAATATGGCAGACAGAGTTTTTTCCTCATATATTAAGACATCAACAGGCAAAGCTGCTCCAACCTATGAAAAAATATATTAAATAAGTACCATCCCATGTTCTTATAGTGGTTTATAAGCAAGTAAATTCACTGCCAGCACGTGACATCGTTAAAGGTGTTATATCTACACTAAAATCTCACGAGTGTTTTAGCTACACCACCCTAGTTTTTATACAGCACCCTTCCTCTCAGAGCTACTTAGACAGAAGCCACTTTTACTTCCACATTACGGCTGGATAGACAGGGACCCAGCAGTGATGTGACTTGCTTAAAGTCACCCAGGAACACCGTAAACAGAGCAAGAACAGTACTGTGGACTTCCCCATCCAAGAAGCCTTTCCCTTCCTATAGTTCTCCTTTTGAAGCCTCACTGCAGCAGAAGCATCAATACCCCAGATCCTAAAACCCAGATACGCTGGAGCCACTTTACTACAGACGCCAAGACAACACGTACGACCCCGGCTTCATGAGGAGCAGGTTACAATACGGGCCGGACAGCAGGAAACAGGTGAAGGAAGAGGCCAACCGGAGACGCTTATCCCGTCTCCAGCCC